AAACCTAGATCTTCTTTGTCTCTGATCGTGGATCTACGCCTCTGATTCAACCTCAGGCCCTCCGTTTTCCAGATGATCTTCCCTTGATCTTCGCCAATTTCTGCTTCGTCGGTACAAGTTTCTTCCTCTGACTCTCTTCTCATTTAAAGTTACCATTTTTTTTCTGTGATATATTGTGGTGGGTTTTGTTTTTGTCGTTTTGGATGTTTAGATCGGCTAGTGTTGGCATCTGGGATTGGCCCATTTTAACAAAAATTCAAAATTTTGGTGTTTTTCGGTGGTGATGGAGGATTGGTGGGGAGGAATAATTGTTATGATTGAATATTCAGGTAGTTGTTTGATTTTTCTTGTGTGAATTTTGCGTTTTAATTGTTGGATCTCTGTGTAAATGTTGATTTGGTTTTGGGTATATATAGAAGGTCAAAGAGGTGCCTTTACTTGCTTCATCTAATTTGTGGGGTTCATTTATTGTTCTTTTTTGTTGTGTAACTCATAAAATTTCTGGGCTTTGGTTTACAAGTTTTTAATTTTTTTTTTCATATATATATATATATGTGTGTGTATGTATATATGTATATGCTGGTAAGTATTGACTTTGACTGTCAGCTTAAGCTCGGTTGATTGGCTACAAATTCCCTGTGCCTTATGAATCATAAAACTTTAAATAGTTCTTGTGGATTGTGGATGATGGATGGGTGAAGCAAATGCTATTCAGATTGTCCATGTTGCATTTTCATAGTCAAAAGTTTAATTATCGTTGCTTGATTGATTGATTGATTGCAGTAGGTTGATGGTTGGTTTTATCAAGGCTAAACAATAAGAGAATAGGGAATGGCTTCAGTAGGGGTGGCGCCTACGTCAGGTGTGAGAGAACCCAGTGGTCACGCGGTTGGTGTGGATAAGTTGCCGGAGGAGATGAATGACATGAAAATTCGGGATGACAAAGTAAGTAAGCCTTTGGTTTAAGTGTTTTCTTATCAGAGTGTTTTCTCCTCGCACTTTTTTGTTTTTATTTTTAGGATTATTGTATATTTGGTATTGAATACTCATGGTCTGCTTCACTGGTGTAGGAAATGGAATCCACAGTCGCAGTCGTTGATGGTAACGGAACAGAGGCAGGTCATATAATTGTGACAACTATTGGTGGTAGAAATGGCCAGCCAAAGCAGGTATAATATTTCTCATTTGCACATTAGTCTCCCGTTGATGTGGACGACTGATATTTTGTTTCGTTTATTATTTGAGTGCAAATTTCCTCTAACAGAGTGTTGTATATTTTGTCATAATAGACAATTAGTTACATGGCTGAGCGTGTTGTCGGGCACGGATCATTTGGAGTGGTGTTCCAAGTAAGACTCTAGTCTTTTGCTTTACAATTCACTATTGAAAATTTATGGCCCTTCAAACAGGTAGCAAGTTTCAAGTTTTTGAATTCTGAGTTCTTATTTGTGCAGGCAAAGTGCTTAGAGACTGGTGAAACTGTGGCTATAAAGAAGGTTCTGCAAGACAAGAGGTACAAGAATCGTGAGCTACAGACCATGCGTCTTCTTGACCACCCAAATGTTGTTTCTTTGAAGCATTGCTTCTTTTCAACGACTGAAAAGGATGAACTTTATCTTAACTTGGTGCTTGAGTATGTCCCTGAAACGGTTCATCGTGTGATTAAACACTACAACAAGTTGAACCAACGGATGCCTCTGATATATGTTAAACTCTACACATACCAGGTGTGATGTCAATGAATGTGTGCCTTTTTTAACTTTTCTGTAAGTCGCATTTGCATTGGTTTAATATTGGAAAGGGAACATTTTTTCTTTCTTTCTTAGGAAGTAGATTATTTTACGTAAATTGAGCAGTATGTTATGCCATATTAAAGAATTGAGCTGTTAAACTAAGATCTTACTCCATGAGCCCAAGGCTTAGGCTAATTGAATCTCAGAGTTCCGCATTAAGGCATTTTGTTTGTTCCCTACCCTGGCGGGTTTATTTGTATTTTGCTGAGATTTGCCTCATTTCATCCATATTTGGTAGATCTTTAGGGCGCTATCCTACATTCACCGCTGCATTGGAGTGTGTCATCGGGACATCAAGCCTCAAAATCTTCTGGTATGGTCTTTGATTCTCGTATACCTATATGCCTATTAATATCTGGTTAACCTTATTGTTATGGTTGGCGGTGTTTATGGAGTAAATAAATAGAGGGGGTATAAACTTTGGTTCTTATTTTGTGCAGGTGAACCCACATACCCACCAAGTAAAGCTGTGTGACTTTGGAAGTGCTAAAGTTTTGGTATGGTTTTTAGTTTTGCTGTCCCTTCTCTTCCAATTATACTCATCGTGACGTTTGCTTCTGTTGGATTGACATATGTCCTTATGCTGTGTTATTGTCGAGCAGGTAAAAGGAGAGCCAAATATATCTTATATCTGCTCTAGATATTATAGAGCACCGGAACTTATATTTGGAGCAACTGAGTATACTTCAGCTATTGATGTTTGGTCTGTTGGGTGTGTTCTTGCTGAGCTATTGCTCGGACAGGTACATACTTTTACTGTTGTATTTTATGAAACATATGTATAGTGCAATTCTAATACAACGGAGTTTCTATTGCATCAGCCTCTCTTTCCTGGTGAGAGTGGAGTTGACCAGCTTGTTGAGATTATCAAGGTAATTCATCCTTATTATCTCTTTGGCGGTAGTTAAATCTTATTTAATCTTAGATTTCAATGAATGGGTATAAAATGATTGCTTATATTAGAGCATTGGACATGCATTACTCTTTTTACTTGGTGCTTACATAGAATCTTGAACTTAACTCTTTTGTTGTGGTAGTGATTTATTTCTTGCTTTTTCTCTTGGTAGGTTTTGGGCACTCCGACAAGGGAGGAAATCAAATGCATGAATCCTAACTATACAGAGTTCAAATTCCCGCAAATTAAAGCTCACCCGTGGCACAAGGTATTATGATGGAAGATATTATGTATGTTTTTGTATTTCATTCACCAGATAGCATATTTATATCTGTTATTTCCTTAGATATTCCACAAGCGTATGCCTCCAGAAGCTGTTGATCTGGTTTCAAGACTGCTGCAATACTCTCCTAACTTGCGGTGCACAGCTGTGAGTACCAAGTGTTTAATTTTATTTTCATGTCCAAATAGTTAAAACTTTTTCAAAATAACTCGATAAATATATGTGCTACTAAAGAAAACTCGGTCAAATTCCCTTTTTAAATCCCATCAATCTTTATTCTTGTTAATTTTTCAATCGTGGTTTTGGCGTAAAAAAATTTTCAATCGTGTTTCCATATACAGCTGGATGCCTTGGTCCACTCCTTCTTTGATGATCTTCGTGACCCGAACACCCGCCTGCCAAATGGACGCTTCCTTCCGCCTTTATTCAACTTTAAATCACATGGTATGATATCGTTCCCAGAAATTTTGTTTTTTCCTTCCAAATTTTTTTCGTTCTCCAAGCCTTTTATCAAAGTTCTTACTCTTTGATGTTGCTTGTGCCATCAATTAGAATTAAAGGGGGTGCCTGCGGAAACTTTGATGAAATTGGTTCCGGAGCACGCGAGAAAGCAAGTCCCGTTCTTGGCATCCGATTAGTTTGTGAAATGTGAGTAACCGCAAGCGTGGTCCCATATTAAGCTATGTGTTATCGTCTGCCTGGGCTGCTATTTGTGTCCCTTTCATTTAATGTACCTCATTGTATGACCTTATTTTGTAAAATTAGATGTGTTCTATCGAATCTTGACATGTCCGAACCGCAAAGGGTATTTATGAGTACCACTTCCCTGTAACCCCCGAAGATTGTAGCATCGCATAGAAGACGAGCACCAGCTTTTATCTAAATGTTTATCTGTATCTGTATCTGTATTTGTAGTAGACAGACCAATGTACCGATGTTCGGTGATTTCGTATTTCCGATGTAATCGAGGTCTGTTTGTGAGATGAGTTGATTGAAGGAAGTAGCAAATTTGCCGTAGATTAGAAGTGGAAATGTTTGGATTTCGAATTGTCTGGGTTTTTCATGTGTGATGAATCCGTCTTGTTCTGAAGTTGCATCAGATTCTGAAAACTAAGCATTTTCCAAACACTTTCTACGTCCGGCCGCTCGTGATTGTTCCGGGTTTTGGTGGACTGAATAAATCAAATGAGAATCAAATAATGTAAATGAGAGGTTATGCATAAACAAAACAAGGTCATGTGGAAATTATTTTTCGTAGGTGTTACGTTAAGATGCCGTACTTGATCTACAAATTTTACCATTGAAATAAAAGACAAAATTATCTCATTTGCAACACTCGTTGCGTGTAAATCACTACCAAGTTTTCTTTTTGACAATTTGATAATTTAGTTTGAACCAAATATAATAAACTTTGGCGCAAGAGGGTGGGTGTAACGAATGTCTGCATAAGAGGACGGACAAATTGCTCTGAATTTTTGATCTACTGACCTAAATCACAACCACGTAAAACCACCTAAATCACAACCACCTAAATTAGTTAACTGAATTCTTCCCTTATTTTTTCTTCTTTTTTTAATGTTTTTTGGGTCACCAACTAAGACTCAGAAATACGAGCAAAGCTTTTATTTTGCATATTGTTTCAGTGTTTTATTTTCTATTTGTGGGTTAAAACTAGCCAAAGGAACTTCAATAATTTTTTTTTGTCAAACAATGGATTCTGTTATATTAGATGTTAGATTAGTAACCGACGGAATTTGAACCCACACCTTCATGCAAAAACTCAATATATTTTTACCATTACGATAAAAGGTCACTTGCTTCCATTTTTATTTATTTGCCACCAAAAGTCCCACAAACCTATAAATACTTGGAATTTAGAAACCTTGATATTTTTTATTGAGTACATTGATATTTGTACAGAAGGAGTTCGGTTAAGCTACATAATGAGCAACTTAATTTAGTATCAAATTCCACAAGATTCGAACCTAAAATATTCCACTCTCAAGTGAAGATGAATACCACCCTAACGTAACGTACTGCCAAGAATTTGGAATTGGATAGGAAAAAATACGGGAGAGTTGGAAACTTGGAACTTGGAATGCCGATGGGGAAGTATTTTTGCGATTACTGCGAGAAGGAATTCCAGGACACACCACCTTCGAGAAGACGCCATCTTCAAAGCGGCCAACACCTTCGAGCCAGAGCTCAATGGTACGCCTCCTTCAAAGGTACATAAAAATTCAACCATTCTCTTCTGATTTTTCAGATTTTCTTTCATTTTCCCTTGTTTTCTCAGCTACCAAACACCCCCACTATCCATTTCTGTGTGTAATCACGACTCTGGTTTCCATTGATTGCAGATCCCAACCATCCTTACCCGACACAAGGGGTCTGCAACCGCTTTGTCAATACGGTAGTTGATTTCTCTTTGTCAATTTAATCGCGTTTTCATTGATTACCCAATTGATGTCATTGCTTATTGAATAATGGGTTGGAGGCAGATTTTTACTTTTCCTTGATTAGCTCAAGTAATTTTGCTTGGTATGGAGTAATGGGTTGGAGGCAGAGTTTGTGTTTATATTTGTTTAGAATAACATATGTTGGTTAGGCCAGTTGACAGGGTAGTGTGTCCGCCCCGTTGAACTTAAGTTCAAATCACTCTCCCGCAGATTAGACTAGTTTAGAATGTCGCGTTGTCAGAAAAATTATTCGGTTCGTGGATTTATATGTTTTCCTTGGTATGTATTGTAGGGATCTTGCCCATATGGTGATTCTTGTAAATACCTTCATCCCAAGAACAATCAGCAGGATACAGTTTTGATTGATAATAATCAGTCTTCGACTTTTCAAGAGAATCAGTCGGTTGGAGGCAGCTCTTTGCCAGGTAACTTCAAATTGTATGTTGCTAGTTGACCTTTGGCGTCTTCGTTTTTGTTTTTCATAAACTCGACTTCAGATGCGATATATGTAGTTCCTGCTCCCAAGGTTAATGCTTTAGTCCTAGTGCTTACCTTTCCTCCTTCTGCTTCACAGATGTGGTTGTCAGAGATCATACGGGAACGTCATGGAGCAATCTACCTCCATCCCTAATGCCTCCTCCAGAGGGTGGACATCCGCGGCTTCCTTTCGTAGACTGGGGATAAGTTTATCTTTATATGTAGGGATAACTTCCTGGTTCCTAATAAACTTCGTTTGAACCATTTGACATACTAGTAGTTAAGTTTCATGATGAGATATCGATTGTCATCAAGGCTTGTAGGCTTGCACCTTGTGTTTTATAGTACTGACTGAAAAATGTTGCTCATATCATGACTAAAGAGAATGTGTTCTATCCTCTACTGTACTATAAAGTTCATTTTTCAAGAAATGCTTGTTTCGTTTGATTCGTGTCTGTTTATGATGGGACAGACATGCACTTTTTCTCAACTTCTGAATCGTGTCTGACCTGTTAATCCCGACTTCTCGTGTTTACTAACACCGACCCCAAAAAAATGTGGCTCTCATGTTGCCTCCTGGAATACAAACATGAAAACGAGAGATTAGATTGATTAAGGAGAGTAGTTGATCTCGTACTCATTTCTTCTTTTATTCTTGATTTTCGCAAATGTGGATTAGAGAACATATGAGATCCAATATAACATAAAAGATCATACTAATACCCAGTTTAAACTTTGACCCGTTTCGTATGGAGAACTCTTTCTTTTTGTTAGTAATCCTTTGCTTTTGAAGAAAGTTAAGGTAGTGGTTACACTCGGAACTTAGAAGGTTGAATTATGAACTGATGCTTCTAAACTGAGGTCGATGCACTTGTTTTTATCATTATCACATGGATTATGGTTACTCACACGAGCTTTGCATATGCACTTGTGTTTATTATTATCACATTGATTATGGTTACTCACACGAACTTTGCAGTTTATATGAGTTTTTGCTTTGACGTGCGATCGTGCAAGTGACAGGACTGAGTACATACAAAGAGCTGGTGGGGTAGCAGTACAAAGGATAGGGAGCTTGAAGTGACTATGTTACCCTTATACCCTTATTATTTCGGAATGTTTATTTTGAGAGCCTACGAGCATGGTACCCTAGTGAGGGTTGTGTACTTTGTTGTTACACTTGTATATATATATGTGGGAGAGACTCCACTAGCATGCTTTATTTTGAGGTATTTATTTTAGTATTCATTTCTGTATCTTTTATGTATTCTTTGTACCCCTACATCTTCGAATTACGTGTCGATTCTGGATGTATCTAGGATCGGAGCATGACAATTAGGGACTCATCAAGCACTCTGACAACGGGGTTCGGATCAAAGTTTGGCAAGACTGGTCAGGGTTAGTGTTAAGAATAACATTCCACACCATTCACATGGACACCGTTCGAAACCGGGTTTTGTTAGATGAGTACTATTGTCTCACCAAGAACTGCCCTAACCAAACCTCCGCAGTTCAGATATCAGATATCCTGCCCAAGGAGAATTCGTGTCGAACCTGATTTGCTGGAGTGCTTATCGAACAGTGCAGAACCTTATAGTTCCACCAGTTTTCTGCTTTTGTTTAAATTAAAGGAAAACTAACGAAAAGTCCATTGTTTAGCCTAATTCCAACAGCATCTCCAAGATATTGCCTACAAATTTCCCTTTGAAACAGTAAGTCACGATAAAACACCATTAAACATAAGACCTCAGACACAGGTAATGTTTTTAACTAGCTGAGCTCCAAACTTCTTTGTGAGGGATGCTATAAAATTTTGCATCCTAAGTGCATAAAGTAATTAGAAATGACTAAAAGTGATTTGCACACACCACTATTTTCCATCTGCACACCGCTTTTCTCCCATTTGCTGAAATCAATTCCCACCTTATATTGAGTGGTAGATCGGGATGCTAGTTGTATTTAGCACATGACCATCATACGATCTTTGGCCTAGAGACACTCAGTCTCTACTGTCTATATAAGGTCCTAATTCAAATCTTGTAAATGATAATTGTTCTAGGAGTGTGCTGACCTTTTTACTTCTCACACATTCCTTGCTAATTTCTATTATTTGATCTTTAATTCAGTCGATCCAACAATCCCAAATTAAAAGGGTGTGTATGAAGTAAAAAAAAAATGTGTGGATAGCACACCCCTTGTTCTAAAAATTAGCTCCCAATGAGGGTGTTAAATTATTGCTACATGGAAAAGTCTTTGCCTTGGTGCTTCAATTTGTTTCCATTCCCGTCAATAATTTAGAGCCGTGTGATAACCATTACGTTTCAGTAAAAAGAAAACTGAAAACTGATATGATCATTAAACCGGCCCTTCATCATTTGATTTCGGTTCCTTCACTTATTTTACCTTTCATCAATTATATCACACTGTAAGAGATGGGAGTTCATAAAAGTAGTAGTAAGCTCCATGAGCAGACTGGGATGTCATTCACAAACTGGATTCGAACATTTCCGGCAAGTTACCGGAAACTTTCTGGAAAAGACTTATGAAAATACATCATAATTAAGTGTTCTTTCAATACAGTTTCCCTCTGATTACACTTTCTGATTATTCGAGCATTCCATTTATGAAGAGTTGATCCACGATAATTAACGTGCCAACTTCAAGCTCGCTTACAGCTCTTCGGCATTCAGGTGTGGATGGAGGATCATAGAGTGTATGATGAAGCAAGTACCTCTAGCAAGGAAGCAGCAAACTTCATTTGGGTCTCCTCGTCTATGGTCGAGAAGCGAGGCACATGAACAAAAAGTGATTTGGTCCCGTTTTGCTCTGCAAACCGAAGGGAATGGTAGTAGACGTAATTGCACACAAACCGGCCTGCATCATCTGAGATCACCACCTCATAACCCTTCTTTGCCAAGGCCTTTGTTACGCCCTCGAGGGGAAGAGAAGTCTGCACAGAATAAGAACAGAAATAGCCTTCAGGACTGATGAAAATAATGAGTCATTCAAGTCATGCGTTTATCAGTCATACACGAATACCAAATAAGACCTGCAAATTAACCATTGCATTAACCAATCATTATACTATAATACTATTGAAGTTGTACTACCATTCCGGTAGTCATCACTTCGCGGTTTCCGCTATTCACCATGCACAGGAATCCCTCTATTCCGAAAGGGTGGCTCCATGCCATCACACTAATCCGGAAAAAGAAAAGAGACAAACATACATTCTATGATTTCCTTTGCATAAAACAAGTTTTATATGGAACAAGAATCCCGGCACAAAAAGATTGCTCATGATTGTATGTACTGCAATCTATTGGCCTTCCAACGAGGAAGAAAATGCTTTAAGGTATAAATTCGACCGATTTTTAAAGACAGCTTCAGTTCTCCAAGCAGGTATTCTTGAAGTAATCATCGTAAATTAAAACGATATATGAAAGTCCAGGAAAAACTACTAAAAATTTTAAAGAAACATCTAATCAAAGAGTCATGGCCACTCATACTACCTCTCGCACATGTGCAATTCCACCATCTGAAGGAATAATCGGAACTTTCTGCAAAACAGATGATTAAAGTTAAAAAATCTGAACAATGTAGAAGACCTCTCAAATAAAATCCCAATTAACTAGAGAACAAACATTTGAAATCTATCTAACCTGAGGCTTCCATCCCATTTCATCAGGGCAACGGAAAGTAGCTTCATTGAAAGCTTGTCGCTCGAGAACAAACTGTGTTGCACCACTATTAACACCAAAGTGTATCTACACAAAAATTGTTCAAGTTAAGAAAGGGTATAGGGCCAGATGAATACATATATGCAAGTACTAAAATCAAACCGATGAAATTCTCTCGGACTTATGTTATGGGAAACTTTGTTATATTTTACAGTTCTATGAAAATGATTAATATATTGCACACATGCATTTTCTCTCGAACACAAAATTAAGAAACGATGGACCAGACATGAGAGTAACTGACCCAAATAGTTCTGCTGGAATTTGAAGTATCCTGCTCGCCAATAGCAGATCGCAATGTCTTGCACAGGTCAACAAGTGCTCCTTGTCCTGCAGTCTCAAGAATGCTGCAACTTCCAAGAACCAGACCTTTTGGTGAACCCTTCTTCTTCACATACTCCGTGAGATTACTGACAATTGTCTCAGTCGGATTCTCCGAAACTCCATGGAATTTCTTAAAACCGGTCACATGAATAGTTACTGGCGAAGGCCCTTCAGACCCCATTTGTCAGTTTTAATATGTAATCGATGTATGTGTTATAGCATCAAATCAGAGGTATATGATATCTAGGTACCTGCATGAAAAAACCGAAAATGAGCAAACAAAATGCAGAGGTACAAAACAAGAACATTTAAAAGTCCAGGGCTGCAATCAACATGCTTTCCTAAACAAACACATGGATTTCATGTTGTATCATTGAAACAATTCACACCCCGTAATGGTTTTATCTATAAAACTCATTGGTCACTCTAAAATCTGAAAGCTGATTGTTAACAGATGCATTATATCAACCCTCTTCCTCGAAATTTTGCTTCGTATCATACTATTTAACAACGTCATGTAATAATTGAACAATTATATGGCTGGATACTGCAAAAGCAGTTAAATTTCAATCAATTATCAATAGTCTATCAATTACAGCAGCAATAGTTGATGAGATTGCATCCAAACTTTTAAAAACAAAACAAGTTTCCATTCGAAAAAGCGCAGGAAATGCAAAATTGGGAAATCAACATGGCCACAAACTAAACCAGCTGACAAGCAATAAAATTTTTGAATCCAAGAAAAACAAGAGGACCCGGTATCTAAACAGCAGATGAAGATCAAATGTCAAAGGCAATCAACAAACTTAAAAACAAGATGATGTGAAATTATGAAAGCAATCAGAACCCAAAACTGTACACAGAAAACCCAAATTGGAATCAAACGGAAGATGATATATACCCAAGAACCCAGAAAACTAGCTTGAAATAAAAAGCATGCAGGATTATATATTCTGAAAATTATACAACATAAATAAATAAAACTTGAGATCTTTTTTTTCTTGCCTGTAATCTTCACAAGCCTCTCACCCACCTGTCTTATCTCCTCGCAGATGATTTATTTCCAACCCCTCTAAGATTCAAAATAGATTGATTAAGGGAGATAGGGGGGAGGAGAGACAGAGACAGAGAGAGGGTGGTGAGATTATGTGAGGATGATCATTTATATAAAAACAAGAAACAGAGTTTAAATATATGAAGTGCTATCTAGACACTCATTTTTAATGCTATGCAAATTTTTGTTAATTTTTATTCTTTGATTTTTTTTCATTTTATTAGATTCAATAGTTAAAAATTAAAATAAACGTATGAGAAATAAAAATAAATCTGTGAATAGCACCACTTTATATAAACTATAGATAAATTATTATGGTTAACTGAGATTAAAATATTTGGTAGTGAAGGACATTGGGGTTATGATTATTTGCATAAATTCTTGATTGGTTTTGGCAACTGTTACATTTAGGTAAGAAACTTTCTTTTTCTTTTTTTCTTTTTTTTTTGTTCTACTTCTCTTTCTTTTTCCAAAGATTTGTCGTTTATTGTTGCGATGGTGATGATTTTCATAGAAAAATTAATTGCTAAACTCAATGATTTCATCTTTCCTGACACCAATTAGTATCACAATTATTGCATTATGAACTTTTGTTTTGGGGAAAATGTATCTCATGATTCTCATCCATTATGTACTATGTTTCTTTGTAGCTCATGAAAATAATTGAAACTCATTATGCATCTAATTCAACGGATCACACTAATTTCGGGTAAAAAAATATTAACTTATCGGGTCATCAATACGTGAAAATATGGTTGTAAGAGTGCATTCTATGAGCTTGTTTCATGCGATAATTTGTATACTAAAATAAATGTATGATGTGTTTGTCCAATGTTTCACTATTGAGCAATCAAGATGAATAATTGGTGGTAATTCGATTATCAATTTCTTACTTATATTTTACTTCATGCGAGATTATGGAATATTTGGTTGTGAAGGCCATTGGGGTTTATCATTATTTGCATAAATTCTAGATTGATTTTAGCAACTGTTACATTTAGGTAAGAAACTTTCTTTTTCTTTTCTTTTTTTGTTCTACTTCTCTTTCTTTATCCAAAGATTTGTCGTTTATTGTTGCGATGGTGATAATTTTCATAGAAAAATTACTTGCTAAACTCAAAGATTTCTTCTTTCCTAACACCAATTAGTATCACAATTATTGCATTATGAACTTTTGTTTTGGGGAAAATGTATCTCATGATTCTCATCCATTATGTATTATGTTTCTTTGTAGCTCATGAAAATGATAGAAACTCATTATGCATCTGATTCACAATAACGGATCACACCAATTTCAAGTAAAAAAATACTAACTCATCATGTCATCAATACGTGAAAATATGGTTGTGAGAGTGCATTCTATGAACTTGTTTCAGGCGATAATTTGTATACTAAAATAAATGTATGACGTGTTTGTCCAATGTTTTACCATTGAGCAATCAAGATGAATAATTGGTGGTAATTCGATTATCAATTTCTAACTTATCTTTTACTTCATGCGAGAATCACCTACTTTAGAAATTTTTTGATATCGGTATTTCAAGCTAATTATGCACTGTCATATATTTAACATTTTCACATGAAGGTGCATAATTAACTTAAAATACCACCCAATAAGTTATCCTCCTTAGCCACATGACTTGTGGTAAAAATTTAGAAAGTTAAAGAAATGTTTTCCACAAATTTTTTTCTATCTTTCTACACACTTTTATTCATAATTCTTTTTTTTTAGTCTTCCTTTTAATTTCAATCCTAAATAAAGTAAATAAATAAAAAATACACGAAGAAGAGAAGAGTGCGAAAATTATTTTTCGAAATAAGGAGTATCCAAGAGAAAATTGGGTGCTAATGGGCCATGGCAATTATTGAAGAGACCTACAAACAACATGACAGAATTTCATACCTCATTTTCCCTCCATTTTTCTGGATAAGGACAAACCGATAGAGCCCCTAGTTTTAACTAGACGACAAATCAGAAGTACGCGAACATGACGTACAGGAGACAAGTAGACAACAATGATATATAACGTAGTACAGACCAAATCTAACAGTCTCCCTCCCATCACAGTCGTCCATTTTCTCACCCGGGGCAATCATTTCCGGGTTCAACCCGTCAAAAAATATCAAAGGTTCGACATAGTCAGTAAGGTTCATTTTGACAGCTCGGATTGTATTAACTATTTCAGTCGGATAAGATAAATAGTCATTGGATAATACTGACTAAATTAATCAGACGTTTGGTATAATATCGGACTCAGTGGTGGATCCAGGAAATAATACTAGAGAGATCAGTAAGAATAGCATGCAATTTTTTTTTATTGGAAATAACATAGATATTGTCATTTCATCGAGTCTTGATAGGCCTGAATTCATTTGGAAATACATACTGCACACCTATTAATGCCTCATTTGCGAGGGTAACTAACATGTTACAAAGCTGCTCTCATAAGAATGCTTAACAAAGAAACACACTTAATTTGAACACATTAACAATGTTTGATATCATTGCATCCCATTAATATGGTGATTTGTTATTCATTGAGATCACCATTTCATTCACTCTTCTTTCAGACATTTTATCAAACAATTGGAAGATATGTATGAAGCCAACTCTAATCTTCAAAAGGGCAACACCCAAAGTATCCATGAAAATTCACCGAAATTCGGAATGTCAGCACACAAGGTATCCATAGACGTTCATCGAAGTTCGGAGGGTCAGCTGACCCCCTGCCCATCAATGCATCCGCCACTGATTGGACTAACGACCGAGAAATGCGTGTTTTATACCCGACTAAATAATATCGTGGTTTTGGACGGTATAACTAAGCGGGTATTAGCTAGATAAAAGGGGTGGGCCTGGATTATTTAATCCGCTGACTATTTAGTACATAGGGACACCAAACATCCAACTTCGTATTATTAGTCATATCCGATGTGTTATACGACGTACCAAACAAGGCCGAAATGTTTTATCGGGTGCATCCGCAACCATAAACATTTAGTTACAATTAAGGATGGGCAAAATACCCATAGATTTGGATAACCGCGGTTACCCACCCATTTAAAGTTTACGGTTACGATTATGGATAATCGTTTAAACGAACAAATGGTTATGGGTATAACCGTTTATCCGTGAAATTTAAATGGACAGTTATGGGTATTATCCACGGTTATATCGGTATCCATCGGTTATGGGTATTACCCGCGGTCATAACAAGTATCCATTTACCTATTTAATTAAATAAATGTAAAATTAAAAAAAAAATTAAAAATCCTAAATTTTCAATCTCTCCGCTAGACTCAGAGTCTCAAACGCCCTCATCCCTCGCTTATCTCCCCCTCCTCGTTGCCCTCTCTCTCAGATGTGAGGTACTTACTGTAAAATTTCATATAAATTATGTATATGTTCAAAAATTTACTATTTTAGCCTAATTTTAATTTTTACTATTGAACCAGATTCAAACTCTACTCCTGGTGTTGAAGATTCCTCATTCGGTGATGATACTGATGTGAATGTGGTAAAAACTAATCTTTATTTTTGTTTTTAACTTTGGAGTTATTGGTGATACTAATTCAATTTTATGCATATGGGTGTGTGAAAAATCATGGAATGTAAACCTTTTGTTTATGCATATTGATGAATGGTGATACTAACTCAATTGATTTGGTACTCCGCTTTTGTTTGCTTTTTTTTTCTTTTTTTCTTTCTTCTGATAACTGAGTGTATAATGGAAACCTACTATGATCACTTACCTCTGTTAGATTCATGCTAATTAGTCTCGGTGTTCCTAAATGGGATACCAATTCAATTTATACATTTCTTTTTGTAGGCCTCTTTTGGTGACAACGAGTCGATGAGACTTTTTTGTGATTGAACATGCTAAAGCATTAGTGTTCGCAAGTGTTTAGTTTCAGAATATTTTGGAGCTTTGAATTATCTAGTATTCAAGATAATGACTACTTTTTTGTTTTTAGAAGCTTTACTTTGTAATCATATGAATTATAATTAAAGACTTGCTTGGGTGTAACAGAAAAATATCGTTCATAAACTATTATTTCAATTATTAGAATTGTACGAGGAGTTAAATGATTAAAATAGGAAAATGCATGCTAAAATGTACTAATTGTCAGAAAACGAAAATTATGACAAATTTTTCTTTTGTAATTTTCAAGTTGTTAAAAAAAACATGTAGACGGGTGAAAAAATGGGCAAATGGGTAAAAAATGATAAACGGGTTCAAAAACAGGTAAATGGTTATGGTTAAATTGGTAAACGATTATAGTTAAATAAGTACACGGTTATGAATATGGTTAACCGTTTATAAACGGTTATGAATATGGGTATAACCATTTATGTAATTACCTAATGGGTAAACGGTTATACAGATATGAACTTAAATGGTTATAAATAAATAACTACGGTTACTCGCCTGCTATAACAGTTGCCTATACTAATTACAATCGTCCCCTTAATTTTTTTCTTTGGGGACAGACAGTCACAGAACAGAAGCTTAAACGACATTAAAAACTGAGCTGTGGTAAAGGAGGTCAAAGGATGTCGATGTCGTTTTCAGCTTTCTTATTGCCATCCTCAGGTTCAAGGCCAAGCAGTCTCTTCTTCACTGCTTATCAATTCTCTTTTGGGGTGAGTTCTTCTCTCAACCATCAATATATATTTTCCTGTATTTTTATATTTGATATGCTGCTCTACTTACTTCAATCTTTGTGTGTATTTATATTGTTAAGTGTAGTGCTTCGTGAAATAGGTGTTTGGTTTCTGAGAAAATGGGAGAGAATCTGTGAAAAGTTTGGATTTTTAAGACTGGAAATAGGAGAATTGGAAATGGGAAAATATCTGTTTGATTGCTTGTTCTGTGTTTTTTGGAGGGAACCAAGCTGAACTGATGAAATGGGGTGTTTGGTGTCTGGGAAAATGGGAGTAGGGCAGTGAAGAGTTTTGATTTTTTAGACAGAGAAAAGCCAAAATTGGAAGTCAAATTTGTTTTTCTTTGCTTTATCCATTGGTTTTTTGGGAAACCAAGCTGAATTTATAACCCAGGTAGTGGAAAAAGAGGACTTTTGTGAATGGGGTGGTGAAATTTTTAGTCTTTGAGGAAGATAGAGTGAGGTCAAGATGGTTTGAACCTTGGTTTGACAAGGCGATATTCTAAACTACTCCATTCTACTCTAATCATATAGTTGGTAACTTGGTATCATTTAAATTCATGTGCTTACTGTTGGTCATGGCAGCTATACTGTCGAAGTGCCTGATTCATATGAGCATCTCCTTCTTGAAGTCATTGATGGACAGAACCACCTCTTTCTGAGAAGCAACGAGCTTGCCGCTGCGTGGAACGTTCTTACTCCAGTTTTGAATGAGATAGACAAGAAAAATATGGCAACGGAGCTGTACGAGTTGGGGGGTCGAGGTCCGGTTGGAGCTTACCATCTCCTGGGCAAAACATGGGGTTCCCTGGGCAGAGGACTAGCGACTTAGAACTTCTGTTAATCTTTTTCTCTTGAACAAAAACAACATTGGAATTTTTTTCGGATTTTTTCTTCACCTTGCGTTACTTGCCTTCATATGTGATTCTTGTTTACGCCAAGAAAATTAAGAATTGTTAGTGTTTTTACTTGGGATGGGATGGTCGGATTAGACTTCAACCCGTTGGCCAACCGATCACAGGTTCTAGTTGACATTGTTTATGCCCATTGTCACTCAAGGAAATGGGCAGATCGACCAACTCAAATCAGTCTTAGGCGGATTGGGTTGGGCGAATTCAACAGGTTGGGATTAATTGTTTTCCTTCTTATTCCTAACGCGTACGAGTGAAAAATAATTCAAAATCCATATCATATTAGATTTAAATCATGTGAATGAAGTAAACTCCCTTGAATATCTTGAAGCGCTTCTCGTTCTCTTGTGCATGTTTTGCCATCCACTCCTCAAACCTCTCCGTCATCCTTTTGCTCTTCTCACCACCGTCACTTGAGAGTGGGCGACTGTATGATGCTGGGGAGACGAGTGGAAAAGGCAGAATTTTAAGAGAATGAAGTGTATATGAGGTTCATATACTCTTAAGCATAGATGAAGGCAAGCTTTGAAATTCACATGGGAAGTTTCGGTCTTATTCATCAAATTTGATGGAGAATACTTGGTACCAAGCATATGGTTGAGGGGGAGTATTAAGTGACATGTCACTATGTGATGTGTTTGATTCGGTAACCTGTTGCATCATCTGATCTATTGGGTTGTTAGCATAGCTAGAGGTCGTTAAGCAGTCTGTAATCTTGGGTCAATTTGGCAACTTCGTATCGGTCATCTTTGAAGCCGTTGTAGCTTCAGAACGGCACGCTTGCATCAACACTATATTCACTCCTTTTGAGTCTCAGAAAATAAAGTACAAAGAGAAGTGGAAACAAACCCACTAATAAGTTCAACACTTGCGCAGGCAAGTACACTACTACTAGTTTTCTACAACCTAACCGCGACAAAAGAAATCAAATGGAATGCTTGGCGTGGAATATTTTGTGGAAAGTATTTTCGAGGCTACTATTGTGTTTGCAGCCTCGGTGAAATGAATTCCATCCCAGCTCACGTATCGGGATCCTTCATCGCAGACATTAGAACCACGATGACCACACGTCAAACCGATGTTGTAGTTGTACGGAGGGCCTCCATTGCCGCAGCATGCCATTAGCGGGCTAGAGAAACCTACATGGTAAAACATTTCTCAAGTTAAATTGTACTGTACCTAAACTAGATCAAACAAACCCGCTATCTACTTGCATTAGCATATATAAGTAGGCTTACCGTATTTCATGGCGTTGGCAATGAGATCGTACTTGATGGCGTATACATCTACATAAACTATAGTAGCATCCTTCAATTGAGGTCTCATCCCATTGCATAGATGGCGCAATCCTTCGTTGAACAACCTCGCGGCCGCGTTGTAACTTGAAAGACATCCATGTGGATCCAAATCCTTCTTCTGGACTAACGAAAGCTTTTGAGGGAGACATCCCAATGGCCCGGTATTGTGTATCCAAAAGTTCCTCCCACCTTGATCATATAAAGCCTACAATTCATGTGACAGAAATTTCAGTGTCCATATGATCCCTGGAATGACACAAACCGCTAACAAAGTACTTTTGATGACGATTTCTGTAATTCTCTTAACAGCCTGCCTTTGTATGATCGTTGTATATACGGCACCAGACTCACCTGAACGGCGTTCTTGATTGCTGCAATAACCGATGGGATTCTCTTCGTCACTTGAGCGTACGAAAGGTTTTTACCAAACGAATCAGCAAGATCATTTTGTCCAATATCGATCATGTAAAGTGCTTTCCGGAAACCTTCATCACTAATCAAATGTTTTGAACCTAAAAACAAATTAAGCAGCACAATCAGCTAACTGGTTTATACATTTAGTGCTTGGAAGAAAAACAACGTAGACTTGTACACTTCCGCAAGCTCAATATCCAATCAAAGCATCAACGGAAATTGAAATTCCAAATACTGATGGTTACACTATACATGCATACCTGCAGTAGCCTTGAAGTGGATGAACTGCATGACCTGAATATTCAACGAAAACGGGACACGTTTCGGAAGGGTAGAGGACCCGACAACTGCAAAGTTGGCTCCATTTGTGAACCTTGACCCTGCCAGAGAGTCTAGGTATGGACTCAACAGACCTCCATTCAAACTTTGGCCTGCACAAGAAAAGAACATTATCTTAATATCCATAGTAATTTTATAATTCAAGTCGCTGACACTTTGTCATAACCACAAGCAAGACGATCGATAAATATAGAATAGTGTTATTCACATATTTATTTTTATTTCTCACATATCTCTCTTAATTTTTGACAGTTGTATCGAATGAATTGAAGATTATCAATGGTCGAAAATTAATAAAGGTATGTGAGAAGTAAAAAATGATGTGTGAACAACACTCTCCTAAATATATAGACTCCGTAGGACTTGGTTAAGTTAAAAACTAAAAAACAAACTCACAACCACAACCTAACCTTAGCCTGCCAAAGCTAAAAGCCGCGGGGCCGCAGCAACGACCACAGGGATAAAAAGCAACCAAAGTTTGTCACTTGTAGTTTCGAATGTAATTGATCCGAATGTTGGAATCATTTTGGTTTAGTATTTACTAATCTAAACTACATGTTACTAGAACTCTTTTTATCAATCAAAATTAATGAAGTTATAATTATAATCTTTAATACATAACTGTAAAAATATATTAGAAAAAAAAAAATTTGGGCATTAAAGTAATTTTACACAAACAAGCTTTTGTTTTTTTTTTTTTTTTTTTGAATCTCACACCTATGTCATCCTATCAGTACTCTATAAACTCATTCTCTCTTCCTCTTTTTTTCTCCTTAACTGCTAAATCCTTTTTTTTTTTTTAGAGTTTTAACGAAACACTTCTGGTACTGTTTATTTACGAAAATGATATTTTTACTCTAAAAAATCACTCATAGTACTATTCACTTACAACATATTTTTGTCATTTTGATTAAAATTTAAAGTTTTCAAATCATTTTCATTAGTTTTTTTTTTCATATGACTAACAATCCCGTTAAAAACAAATAACTACTTCCATCAAAAAATTAAAAAACAATATTTGAGAAAAATAAAAATTAAATTTCTCACATATAAGTGTGGGCCTTTGCTAGTACTAATTAATAGCTCAAACAACTATAATCATAATGTTTGTGCGTGATTTGCTAAGCCTAATTGACGACGTACATTCTGAATTATTGTATTAATAATTTGCATGTGCGGAAGAACCAACTCTAGTCTAGACAAGTAAAGGGCAAGTCTCAAGTTCAACGCACGTGTACAAATAAGGTGACCCCACCTCATCATTTTTGTTTAGGTACTTGAAATTACAATCTAGTCCCTGTTCGGAAATTGAGGGGTGGAGCCCCACCAGCCAACGTTGTTTACCTTGGAGGTGAAACTCGGGCGGATTGAATGGGTTAGAATGTTAACCCAATTCTAACCCAACTTTTACAATTCGGGCTCAGGTTCTGGTTGGGTTGCATTCGAATTCATTTGGGGTTGGGTTTACTTGGGTTGGGGTCGTGTTTACTTGGGTTAGGTTTGGATTGCCTAACTTTTTCAAGTTTAATTTTGTAACAACTTAGTTTCTAAGAATTCATAAAAAAAATTAAGTTAAATAGCATCAAAGCTAGCTAACTTTAATTTCATAAATTAATCTACTATAAAGTTTTAGAATTTAGAGACTATGAATTTGGGGTGATTAATCAAATCCTCTTATTTCCTAAAAGTTTAAGTAATTATAAAGGGTAATTTATTAAAAAAATATTTAAAAGGGTGTTAGTTTTTTGGACTTGGCTCACTTGGGTGTAGCATGAACATTAATTGATATGGGCTATAATTTGGTTAGATTGAGTTTGGTTAGTCGGGTTGGGTTGAGGATAGACAAGCAAATGATCAGCCTAACTCAACTCAATCAATGAACAGGTCGAAATTTGGTTGGGTTCAGACAAGTTATAACTATAAAAAAATCCATATGTTCGAATTTAAAATCGAGTTAGACACAGACGGATTTGAATTGGTCCAACCCAAATTACATCCTAGTTTACCTTAAGGTAACTCACGACGTGGTTTAGTCGCGTAACGGTAACATCGAAAATATACCCTCGAAACCGCCGACACAGATTTGACAACATACATAAAACGGTCCATTGTCACCGTGGCGCACAGCGCACCACGTCATTCTTTTACCCGACCGTGTATTAATAGCATGATGTCTCAGTCGATCAGTAGATCGAGACGTTAATAACAATGGATCCGTTAAGTGAAATTCGGATCAATCAAATCCGGTGAATGGGACGGAGACTCACAACAGGATCAGATCAAGTGATCGAGACTCATTCCTAATCTTATCATCCTAATGAACCATGTTTATGTCGCTATAACGCTACTTAAAATGTATGAATTTTGGAAGGTGGGCGTGGGGGTATACTTACAGAGGAGGTCGAGGACGAGGCGGCCGTCGGATAGGCGGCCGGTTGATCTGCGGAAGAAAGTACGGCCGTAGGGGGGGTTGACGGAGAAGCCAAGTCCAGCGACAAGTCCACCGGTGTCCGAGTTGGAGTCCCCAAAGTTGAAGATGATGGGCCTCGGATTGCGCTGGCCATCGACGGAGGCTGAGAGAATAATCAGAAGGACGGCACCGAAGAACGTGAGAGTGAGACCCAGGGACTGAGTGCAAGACATACCTTCCTCCTGTACAAAATGCACAAACCTAAATTTTTTACTCACTTCACTGAAGAGTCTGCCTCTTTCTCTCTCTATATATCTCACTCAATCTTTGTGGTTCAGTACTTTAGTGTGTTTGTCTGTGTGAGGACTTATATAAATACTGAAGCTAGCTACTTTTTCTTTGCTTTTTTAATGCTTACTTTACTTTATTTTTTAAATATGAAAAATTGTCTCTAAATTTGTAACTCTGCTGATTAAGATATTATCGTGCACTCGATATTCATAGTTTAAGTCTTCCCTTCCCATTTTTGCTTGTAGAGAAAAAAATTATAAGAAATGTCACGATTGGTATTTTTTATGGAAAGTATTTGGCAAACA